TAAGGGCGCGGGTTTGAGTCCTGGCTGCTCCACTTCTGATCCAGCTCTCTGCTATGGCCTGGGAAAGCAGTAGAAGATGGCCCAAGTCCTTGGGCCCCTGCACCATGTGGGAGACTCGGAAGAAGCTCCTGACTCCTGGATTGGATCCGTTCAGCTCCGGCCGTTGCGGCCATCTGGGGAGTGAACCAGCAGATGGAAGACCTTTCTCTCTCTCATTCTGCCTCTCCCTCTCTCTCTGTGTAACTCTGACTTTCAAACAAATAAATAAATCTTCAAAAGAAATTGCTAACCAGTGTTGTCATGGGAAAGAGGAAATGAAGATTCTTGTACTCTGCTGGTGAAAGAATAAACTGGAACAACTTTCTGCAGAACAACTTAACAGATGCTTTAGAGGAATTTTTCAATACTAAAATTCGGTACAATCTTTGAGCAAGCAATTCCACTGCTAGAAATTCATCTTACTGGATAGAAATGAAAATGCCTTTTCAAAGATGTTCATTCAACTAATATTTAGACAGGCACTAAGAGAACTTTCTTCAATGACAGACATGCTCTACAGTTTGTACTATCCAATATGGTGGCCACTAGCCACACGTGGCTATTGAGCACTTGAGCTGTGGCAAGTGAAATTTAGAAATGGATCATTCTTAATGACTTCAAATTTAAAGGCAAACAGCCACATGTGGCCGGTGGCTACTATTTTGAGCAGCTTATGCTTATAACACAAAATTAGAGACTATCAAAATATCAAACAATAAAGGATGATTACCTATAGTACAGCTACATGGAATTTTTCAGTCACTAAACATACTTATGCAGATGTTCATAAAAGATTGATAACTGAAAACATTTAAAGTTCATATATGCTTTTTCTCTCAGTCCAGATATTTGGATATCTGTACACAAAGAGACAGGGTAACCTGGAAGTATAGACATTGGGAAATTAGCAAAGATCATTCTGTAGAATGAGATGATAATAATTCTTGCTTTTCTGTTTTTCTAATTTTTCTACAATAAATATGCATTTGTTAGATAATAAAGCAATACAAGTTCAAAGACATAAGGCTTATTACTGACCATTAGAACACTCAATCTAGAGAATTTCAACGTGTTAGATTAGAAAACAAACTCTACTATTTGATGCTTAAACGATGGTTCAAAGGCAAGGCCTGTTTGGTTTCACAGTAAACTACACTGGTCTTTTGGACAAAGCCTCAAGGAGTGGCTTGTTCTGGGCTCTCCTTACCCAGAGAGGCCAAGAGAAGGAGTCGTGAGACATTTTAATGGCTAGGCACCAACACTTTAGTTAACCTTCCTGACTCGCCATTCATTAAGAGCTGAATTCAGCCTCCGAACTGGAAACGCTTCATCAAGTAGCCCAAGTTGAAACTGGCTTTATTCAGCCACCTAGGTTCTCAGACAAAGCTGTGGATTTTGTCCTACGTGAAGTAGTTCCAACAACTTCCCCTGGGGAGAGGGCGCCGAGGCGCTGCCTCATTTTCAGTGCTTCCCTCAAAGCATGCAAACAGAACAAACATTCCACCCCAAGGTGGCTGTGTGTGTGTGTGGGGGGGGGGTGTCCAACAGCTGCAGATGCTTTGCAGCCATTCTCAGCTTCCGAAAAGCTTTTTTCTACTAAGCTATCACATGGCAGCCAGGGGCTGCTGCGTGCTCTGTCCTGCCTCGAGGGGCTCCAACCAGGAATATCTACCAACTCCTTCTTGATCCTTTGGTGCACAAGGAATTGAGCGCAAACTCAGCAGCAACAGCAGAGTATTTAAATGCTCACTAGTAAGGTGACTTTCCCAAGTCAACAGAGTAGCTCCTTGTAAGGGCAGCCATAATACAAGACCATACTACAAGGTTTATCAAATGTATTTGTTCCCCACAGAGGCACAAACAGCTACATCCCGAACTGTAACAAAAACACTGTCAAAATTCTGCATTGTAAACGTGCATATATGTAAACACTTCTCCATTAATCACATACACTGTAATATTCCTCCCTGCAAGGCTCCTCTTGAAAAATCTCAGTCAATGGTGGTTCTGTAATTATCCCTTTCCCTGAGTTAAAATTGACCTTCATAAAAAAAAAAAAAAAAAAAGACCCGCTGAACTTACAGGAAAAATCAGCAATGAAACAGCCTTTCTATGTCTGCTTCATTATGAACTTGATAGATTCATGGAAGTACTAATAACTGAATGAGGGTTTGAATACACAACAACTTGCTATATATAGCCCAGGCCTTCTGAATTTGTCCAACAGTGGGGCAAAACTGAATGATGTTAGCAACATGCCAACAAGGGTGTAACTGTAAAATCGTTAGAAGAAAAAAATAACTAAACAGGAAATAGTGTATATTTGTTCAGTTTGGTGAGTTTTCCAAGTTCTAATGAGACAAAAGCTTGCTTGCCTTGGTGTGGTAAGAACTCTGATAGTGAAGCTCTCTAACTTGAGTATCTTGGGTTTATAGCAGCAAGTGTAAATCCCACCTCAGCTGTTCCTTAATAAACACTTGGAGTTGAAATCAGAAAAGAGTTAGCAGTTTTGGCAGCAGCTGCAACATGGTTCGTTCATTCTCGGGCCACTCTCCACCAACTGACTCTGGTTAACAGCTTCTGGGGTCAGAAAAGCAGGGGGAGTCACTTAGGGGAATACACTACCTTTAAGGCTATTTCCCTATTTCTTAATTGCCTCAACTGCTTACATAGAGCATTCAGTACAGTGAATTTAAAATTTAGTTGTATGCATAATCTGTGTGTCCACAAACCCAACGCAGATGGGAATTAATGAAAGCAAATGAAGAAAAAGGCATCCACATTCACTTGTCAGGACAGGGCATCTAGCATTTTGTCTGGCACATAGCAGGGGCTCAACAGCCACTGACTTAGATTCCTAGCATCTGTTCTCCTCACTCCCCAAATCTCAATGTGTACCACACACTGGAATGATGAGAAAATACTCTGCAGTGTTTGCTGTAAATGCCCAAACTCCATTGCTAAGGTTCCAAGCAAGCTGGCCTGACAAGGGAACAGTGGCCGCTAGCAGTATCGCCAAGAGGAGTCTCCTCCCAGTACCAGACTTTCTAGCTGTGCCACAGAATCAGTGGTTTGGAAGGAGCCACTGCACCTGTGATACACATATTGTTTTTAAAGACCCCGAGAAGGAATGTTAATGGCTCCTTTTTTCCCTTTTCTTTTAATTTTCTTTTTTTTTTCCCAGCCGAGGGTAGCAGGTCAAATGCTGGTCAAATCCCTGTGGAGGTTTGCTGAGTCCCATTTATTCTCTTGAGACCATCTGTCCACCTCACAGCTCCCTTCACAAGCTGCGGTGAAGGGGAAGGTTTTCTTTTTTCCCTGAATTTTGGAAATCATTCCTTGTGCTAGGTAGATTCAGTAGTTTATTAATAACAGCCCAGATGAGAGCCCTGGTATAAAGAACTGGCACACAGCTTGCCTTCCTCTCTTCACTAGCTGCAATGACAAGCAAGGTTCCAATCTGACCTCAACAGGTCTTCACTCCAAAATCATGGTGAAACACACAATAAGCCAAGTCCATGAAAACAACATTAAAGATCTGGGTTTAGCTCCACTAAACAGCAGGATTAAACTTTCAAGGGTTCAGCCACGATAAAGAGATTTCTTTAAAGTCACTTGGCTTTGCACGGTTGTAGCTATTAGGGATTAGATCTTTATCTCAAAGGTACATATTTTACCTTTGATCCTCCTCCAGAACTCCCACTAATGTCAACTTTCACCACTGTCGGGATCAGGCCCCTGGCCTCCCTTTAATGTTGGTTTTATTGCAGATTGTACAAGATCAACAGAAAAATTACAAGGGAAAGCTGTGAAGTGTCCTTCCGATGACAAGTTGTTTCAACAAAAATAGCCCTCTCCTAAATGCTAAAATTTAAACACAGCAAACGACATGCTGTGAGATGGAGGGAGTGGAGAGACAAAAACAAACAAAAAAACCCCAAAAAACAAAGTGGGAAAACAAACACTAATTAACCAGTCTGACTGCTTATTTAGGGTTTGTTCTCTAGTCCAGGAAATTGGCAAGAACATCTTGAAAACAGAAGAGGCAAGTGCCCGTTAGCACTGTCCGCTTCCCTCCCGAGTCGGACACTGGATGAGGCTTGAGGTACGCCGTGAGGGCTCCCAGGGGGCCAGCGCGCCTTCCAATCCGCATCCCCCAGCCATGCCGGTTCCAAGGTTTCCCCAACCCTGAGTGCTGCCGGCCGTGAACCCCCACCCCCGGTCCTCCATCCCTGGACTGGCACAGCCTGTCTTCCACTAAACCCCATCCCTTTGCCTCAGAAGCGCCCGCAGGTCTCTGGGGACCCGTCGCCCACCCGTCCCCCGGAACCCCGTTGTTTCCAATCCCCTGCTTCCGCCGCGGCAGCAGCACCCCTTCAACAGTCATCACCACCCTCTCTCCCCAGTAGCAGGAGGAAGTCGCTCTGCTTCCTCTGTTCTCACCGCCCGCTCGAGCTTGGACGCCCGGGGCTTTTTGGGTGGGGTTCTTTTTTGTGTACACGCTGTGTGCGCGCGCGAGAGTGTCTATGGGCAAAAGGCTCATCGCATCCTTCCGCCTGGGCTGCCTCAGGTGCCTGGAGGAGGGGATCCGCATCTTGCCTAGCCGTGCCCCGGTCCCCGGCTCTTTGTGCGGGATCCAGGGCTGCTCTAGGTCCGCGCTCTCGGTTCTGGGTCGGAGCCCCCGCCTCGCCGCACCGATCGAGCCCGGCTTTGCCCGTCCGCTTCCATCCAGGCGCACGCCTTGGCTATGTCGGGCAGCCGGAGCGCTGTCAGTGGGCGCCTGGGACTCGGAGCCCGCGGCCGCCGATGTGAAAACTTACTGGAGCGGAGAAAGAGAGCGCACAGCGCAACGGCTGCCGCCCCAGCGCCGTTCCTGCTCCGGTCCCCCGCGCGCGCGGGAAGCCACAGTCGCTCCCGCTAGGAGCGCGTCCCCCGGGACGCCCCGTCCCCCGGCCACTCACCAGCACCACGGAGCCCCGCACGGCCTCCGACACGCTCTGGCGAAGCTCAGCCGCTGTGCCGGGCTTGCTGAGCCGCTTGGTGAATTTGCGCACTTCGGCCATGGCAGCGGTGGCAGGCAGGTCTCGGCGGGCGTCCTCAGTGCCCCGGGCCCGGGCGGCCGCGGCCGCAGCTGCTCGCTCTGTTTACCCGCCGGCCGGCCGGCCACATCGCAGCTCGGCGGCGGCGCGGCTCACGCGGCTCCTCCCTCCCAGCCGCTGCTCCTCCTCCTTGCCTTCTTCGCTCCCTCGCTTCTTTGCTCCTTTGCTCGCTCGCTCCCCGTCCTGCCCCACGGCGGCGGCAGCGGCGGCGGCAGCGGCAGCGGCAGCCTCTCCCTCCCCTCGAGAGCCGGAGCTCTGATCTCTACCCGCCAGAGAAGGAGGGTGTGTCTGGCGGGGAAGGGTGTGTGGCGGGGGAGGGAGAAGTGGAGGTGGGGGCGAGGGTCACGAGGGAAGAGGGGGGAAGTGGCAACCGCTCGGGCTCCGCCCGCAGCTGGTGTTGCTGGTGCAGCCGCATCCGGGAGGCGAGATCGGGCTGCTGCTGTTTTCGCGCGTGTAGGGCGGGTAGGGGACAGAATGGGGTGAGGAAATGTCTCCAGGAGTGCGGCGTGCTCTACCCCAGTGCTCCTCTGCCGCGCCAGGAGGGCAGCGCCCGCAGGAGGGATGGAGAACTCTTCGCGCCCCTCCCCCTCTACCGCACCCCGCCAGCCCCCTGGGCCGGGGCAGCTAGGGGATGGGAAACAACGTGGAGCAGTGGCCTATTGTGTGCAGAGCCAGGAGAGGGTCGCGCCGATGTCGAGTCGAAGCGGCTTCCCTGGGTTCCCCTCCTTGCTCACGCCCAGATGGTTCCCCTCACAGGAACAGCCGGCTGCGGGAAGTGGGAACTTAGCTGTGGCAGCAACCCCTCTCCGGAGCGGGGTAGGGGGCGGGTGAGAACTGGGTGGTGGGCCCTGAGCCTGTGCAGGTTGGTAGTTCAGCAGTGGCACAGGGAAGGCCACGGTGGTCTGAGGTTTGGAGGACTTGCCAGTTTTCCGGGAGCTTTTACATGTACCCTGCAACCACCTCTCCGTTTCTGACTTCTTTCTTTATCCTCTTCAGTTTCCAGGAATTCCTCCTCCCACCCCCCCTCAAGAATCACAGGAAAATCTTCCAAACAGGTAAAACAAATATGGTTAAGACGGAAGTAAGGATGGGGATCTTGAAGTGCTTGTAAAATGGCCCCAAGTGCAAGGTGAAAGGCTGCACTGATCACAACAGTTTTCTAGCCGGTTACTCCATTTGTCCAGACTTTTGACAATGACCTGTAATCTGGTCTGAGAGGTTGCTACCACTGCCAGTAGGACACTTTTCTCAACTTCAAACATCCCAGCACTCCCACACATGGAACTTTGTTATGGAAACCAGGGCACTCTTGCTGGTTTCTGTGCACCCAGAAAAGGCCAAGTCTCTTGGCAGCAAGTGTATTTCAGCAACCCCCACAGTTGTCCCTGTGCAGCATAGGTGGAGGGCCGGAGAAGGCTTGGTCCATGACGTCCCCTAAAGGGAAAAGACTTGTGTCACACCTCTTGGCTTTGCCTGGTGGATGTATGTAGAGTTGGTTAATAGAGGTGGATCAGCACCAATGCATTCCCTGGGTTCCATGTGTGCCCACATGGCTCACACTGTTGGTTACCTCCGCAACAGCCAGAACACATTTTCCTTGCCAAGAGAACCAGATCAGCATCAGATAGAAGGCAGAGCCACATGGTTTAATGAAAAAAGGGCCAGCCCCAGATGAAAAATCCTGGGGGGGGGCATGATAATCTTTCCTTAACTAGTGGGTTGGTCTAGATTCCCCCTCACATTGAGCCAATGAGATATAACAGGGAAGTATGGGAGGAAAGCATATGGGAAAGCTTCAGCCCTTGGCAGCCGTTTTGCAACCACAAGGAAAGGCCACAACAGTATCAAAGAAGCCAATCTGGAATTCAGATAGGGGCCGGCGCTGTGGCCTAGTGGGTGAAGCTGCACCTGCAGTGCCGGCATCCCATATGGACACTGGTTCAAGTCCTGGCTGCTCCACTTACGATCCAGCTCTCTGCTATGGCCTGGGAAAGCAGTAGAAGATGGCCCAAGTCCTTGGGCCCCTGCACCCATGTGGGAGACCCGAAAGAGGCTCCTGGCTCCTGGCTTCGGATCGGCGCAGCTCCGGCCATTGCGGCCCTCTGGGGGAGTGAACCAGTGGATGGAAGACTCCCTATCTCTCCCTCTCTCTCTTTGCCTCTACCTCTCTGCAACTCTGCCTTTCAAATAAATAAATAAATAAATCTTAAAAAAAAAAAAAAAGAATCCAGGTACCACTGAACTATTTTTTTTTTTTTGACAGGCAGAGTGGACAGTGAGAGAGAGAGACAGAGAGAAAGGTCTTCCTTTGCCGTTGGTTCACCCT